CTCCGGCACAGACAAGCCGGCCGTGACAGCGCAGGGAGGAGGACCTTCCGCTTGTGGGACGCCGACCGGAGCCGCAGAACCCACGGGACCTGCAGCTCTTCCTATCCCTCCGCGGACGCGAGTACGGGATGTTTCTGGACGCGAGCGGGACAGTGGCGGGCCTCCAATGGCGACGGAAGAACTTGCGCCCGTCGCCCCTAAAACCCTTCCACGTTCCCGCTCGGCGGGTGGGCCGCCGACCGTCCGGGACGGCCCGGCTACCCGTACTCGCTCGAAATCCCTCACGTTTCGTTAGATTGTGTTGCGTTGTGTTATTGTTATAATGTCTTCAATGCTTCGTGTCTTTTTGCGTGTTGGCCCTTTACACCCGCATTGCTTTTCAGGTTGCAATTCAGCCGAGGTCGGCTGGATTTTCTTTAAGGGGGAGGGTGATGTAATGCGGTTGTAAACGGCCCTTCTGAGGTGCCGTCAGGGGGGGAGGAGTTAGGTCACGTGGGGGGCAGAGGGGTTGAGTATAGAAGGAGGGGAACCGGAAGAGCAAGGGGAGTGACGGGGAACCAGGAACAGAGGAAGGCCACGAAGGGCGAAGCGGGGTGTGGCGAGATCGCCACGAACACGGGGGGAGCGAGGATCGGCACCGTTGGCCAGCGGTGACCGACCCGAAGCAGCGAGGAGGCTGCAGTCAGCAGCGGGGCTGCACAGAGAGGGTGGGCAGCGGGTCTGCATATAGTGACAGCCAGAGGGTCTGCACATAGGGGTAGCAGCGAGTCTGCAGGGAGGAGGTTACAGTAGATGAAGCAGAGAGTCAGAGGGGAGAGGAAGCTATAATAGCAGTGAATAGCCGGGGGCTACAAATACAGGAGTTATAACAGAGTGCCGTGTGGGTAAAGACGTGAACCTGAATAAAGACACGAAGACAGAAAGAAGTGTTCGAGTCCTTTTATTACACTCGTACAGCACACCGGTGTGTTGGAGAGCAAATCCACAACATTTACAATCTGAGTACGACGTTTCGCCTGATCGGTGGCTGTCTGATTGTCAGCCTGATGATGCTAGTTGCAATTACTCGCTCTCCAACACACCAGTGTGCTGTACTAATAACGAATTGGCACGTTCTGTTTCATTGACAAACCTTACTAATTGGCTGTGTCCGATGGTGGCGGGTTTAACGACACATTTATATTTACGCAATCTAACCCAAAAAAAACAATGTTGGGGAATCCCATCACATATCAACAAATTCTCGACTATATACACGCATATCAATTAATTAATACAAATTCCTGCGAATATTTTTTGGGACGACAATCGTTTCCATACGTACATATTCAGCCCCGAACGCTGCCCCTCTATGATTCATGGTTTCTTGTTGAGTTAGATCGTGTTCGTATGCCACAATCGGTTAAAATGTTAAAATGTAGTACATTTCATGTCCGTGCATATCTCATAGCGTAAGGCTACCACCACGAGCTGTGCTACGTTTCACGTCCATCGTCTGCAGCAGTTGTCACAGTCGAGGTTGATGTAATTACGTTGCAACCCCAAGTGAGTGATTTGCAGGTAATTTTTCAAAGTTGACACATTTTGACCATGGTGCCAGCACACAATGGCCTACAACTTTTGTACTGAAGCAGACGGCGCGTATATTATGGCTATTACACACGCAGTAATAACCAGGGCCACCTGCCAAATTCGAACCACGAACCTCTGCTACATGCGGCAAACATGCTACTAATGAGCCATGCCATTGCCTCAGATGTACGTACTATATAGATGCTTGGATGAATGAACTGATGGTTATATTGGGAGGTGGATTTATTGAATGGCTTATGGATTTATCGAGATGCCGTTGCATTTACATGCTTAATACATCAACTGTGTAATTGGATGGATGTGTTTATAGATGTATCATGGAGGGAGGTTGGATGTATGTACGTATTAATACAGGCTAGTAATAATGTAATTGGAAGGACGTTATTAACCAGGTAAAGTCTTAACTGACTGTGATGTTTCCATCCAACCTGCCTATGTCAGCTGTTATTTCGACTCTCTGTGCCTCTCTCTCTCAATGTCTCTCTCTCAGATCTCTCATGCTCACATGGCAGTTGCATTGTACTCTCATGCCTTTGGATTGCACTCTCATGCTCACATGTCTTTTGGATTGCACTCTCATACTCACAGACCCTTTGAATTACACCCGTTGGGTTGCACTCCCTCGTCGAGGAGGCAGCTCTTCTTCTTTTCTACAGTTACATGCTGATCCCTCACATTAACATCATACTGATCCATCACATTAGCATAGCCACTTCTCTCTAATTTCTCACATTAACATAGCCACTTCTGCGCCCTAGTGTAAGACGCCACTCTCCTAGCTTACTTTTACATGGTAATTTCTCACATTAGCATCATGCTAATCTCTCACATTAACATAGCCACTTTCGTGCTCTCTAATTTCTCACATTAACATCATGATAATCCCTCACATTAACATAGCCACTTGCGTGCCCTCTAATTTCTCACATTAACATCATGCTGATCCCTCACATTAACATAGCCACTTCTGTGCCCTCTAATTTCTCACATTAACATCATGCTAATCCCTCACATTAACATAGCCACTTCCGTGCCCTCTAATTTCTCACATTAACATCATGCTAATCCCTCACATTAACATAGCCACTTCCGTGCCCTCTAATTTCTCACATTAACATCGTGCTAATCTCTCACATTAACATAGCCACTTCCGTGCCCTCTAATTTCTCACATTAACATCATGCTGATCCCTCACATTAACATAGCCACTTCCGTGCCCTCTAATTTCTCACATTAACATCATGCTAATCCCTCACATTAACATAGCCACTTCCGTGCCCTCTAATTTCTCACATTAACATCATGCTAATCTCTCACATTAACATAGCCACTTGCGTGCCCTCTAATTTCTCACATTAACATCATGCTAATCCCTCACATTAACATAGCCACTTGCGTGCCCTCTAATTTCTCACATTAACATCATGCTAATCTCTCACATTAACATAGCCACTTCCGTGCCCTCGTCTAGGAGGCCGCTCTCCTATCTTATAGTTACATGCTAATTTCTCACGATAACATCAACAGCCCCGGCCACTTCTTTATGACCCTTGGGCTACACCCATTTCAAACCTTTTAAAACAGTCTGCTTCAGCAGCAGATCATGCTTTCCCACCTGATGATGGACGCTTGTGTGCGCCCGAAACGTCGTGATTTATTTTATTTTATACCTACGTGACTTTACCGAAAGAACCAAAGAGTATGGTGATATTGTAGTTTAAGATGTTCTGCTCGAAGGAGCTCATCTCTTGTTAATATACACTGATGGTAATTCCACACTCCTGTGATGGGGGAGGATCATGGTGGAAAATAAGAGGGCACTATCCATAAGCCTTGACTCGCCAAAGTAGTACTGATTTTATCCACCCTAGTGGGATAAGGGGTTCAATGATGCATGCACACTGAGCACTGCGCCATTGAAATGGATGTACGTGAATGTATATTTAATGGAGCTCCTATTTTACACGACAATGTCAGGGAATCCCATCACATATCAACTAAATTAATTAACGGGGGGGGGGGGGGGTGAAAAGAGTTGTTTTCCTGATATGCCTGGGTAATGTTATATTCAATTATTGACCCGCCTGTGAAAACTATAGGAATCATTTAGTGGCCATAGTTTGGCTCCTTATATCTATCTGCAAAATCGTGGATGCAATCGGAAGGCCGATCCACAGATTATGGAATATAATTAGCAAATCAGCCAGACAATGTGGAGTTAAAATAGCAGATAATAATCGGAGAGAAGCAGGGTAAAAAAAAACTGATACAGCCCCCCAGAATAGCAGCCCTGTTAACAACTCGTAAATGTCTTGAGGGTGTGGCTGATGGTTTAACTCTTTTATCCACATATCCACACTATTATCTGCGAGGTTGTGGCTATAGTCGTAAATGTCAAGACGATGTAACGCCTCGAATTCACTTGCTTATCCACAATGGGATCTCCACACACACACACACCCGTCGCGGATAAGAGGTAAACAATTCCACCCGTATTGTACCCCCTGTATCTGTACGACGTCGTTCAGAAACGTGGTCATTGACAAGAATGGAATAAAAAAGAGGAACCCATTGATTAGAAAACAAAGGTTAATGATATCCTTCAAACTGTTAAGGGTGGTTATTTGTTGTCCTTCCCCGCACCTTCGATTATTATCACGGTTGGTTACGTACGGTGTGGAAGAAGTTCAACATTCATATTTCGACATGATGGTTGGTAGTCAAGAATAATGACGCAGTAGCAGCCGTGGAATGAAACGGAATGCGTTCGAAATGATGATATCAGCAGGCGCTAGGCGGATTAGTAGGTTGATAATTACATCTAAGGATCGTTAGAGATGGTCACGGCTTGTATTTAGCATTGGATTGACCATGGCTGAGTATTATGAAGGGATGAAAGCCGATGGTCCAATAATAATTAATACTCTTAGTTCTTTCGGTTTTTTTATTTTAATTTAATTTTTAACCTACGTGACTTTACCGAAAGAACTAAGAGTATGAATCCTTGCAGTCACGAAAGCTTCAAATCAAAAAGCAAATAATAAATAACGCAGCTGCACCCATTCCAAGTCATGAAACGCGATCGAGAAGACGTCAAACGGAGGAGACGACGCGATGAGATAAACGGTGAATTATCACAATGATGATGATGAACGTAGCAGGATCGTGAGAGATGGCGACGGTTTGGGGAAACCTGCATGCCAAGCAGTGGATTGATCTTGGGCTGATGATGATGCCTGCCGCCGCCACCGCCGCCGCTGCTGCTGCTGCCGATGATGAATCGTAGAGAGAGTTGCGGAGAGGGCATCTAACGCGCCGCGTCACGGGGCCCCCCCAACCGCCGCGCCCTATAAAGTGTGGAGCCGTGCTGGAGCGCCTCCCTCCTCCTCCTCTGTGCAAGGCTCCACAGCTCCATTCGCGAACAACAAAAAAAGGATCCCTCGCTCGCACGCTGGCTGGCTTCCACCCAGCGTTGGGCCACCCCCCACGGCAAAAATAACATTCGGGAAGAAAACGCAGTAATTCTCAAAATAAATAGAAGACGCAAAAAAGTAGACGCATTATTTTTTTTGGGTGGGGGGAGGGAGGGAGGGGGGTGTATTGTTTGTGTAAAGAGGAGCTGTCTTCCTCCACCTATTTCCACGAGGACGTCCACCCCCCAACGCCCAGCCTATTGCTAACATTCTTCCTCGAGCGGCGTTGCGGCAGTTGTTTATTTGATCGCTGGCCGCTCACGTATGTGCGTGTCTCCTGCGCATAATTCTTAAAGTGTGAAAATTTGTCGCCAGCAGTTCAGCTCCCCCCCCCACTCCGTCTTCATCCTGCGTCCGCCGGTCCGCTGCTCAGTGTTTCGCCAAGTAAGGAACCACACGCACCTAACACGCGCACGCACACATATAACAGCGAAGCAATGCGCATTGCAATGCCAGATCTAGTAATGGGTGACTCTTTGAAGTGCTTATTAAAGGTGTATACAGGACCGCTGCCGGCTGTGTGTAGCTTCTGTGTGCTTGCCGGCGTTGCGTGTGATGCACACATTTTTATTTTTTGACGACCGGGTTCCAAATACAGCCGCAACTGCTCCGGATCATCTTTGCTCTCGGTTGTATCAAAGGTGGTTTCTTTCCATGTGTTATCCCCTAAAGCCCATCATCTTATTATCTTCTTCCGCGCAATGTTGTGTTTCCCCGTTCGGATTGTGTGCCGATCAATTGAGTTTCGTCTGACGTACGATGCTGGAACATTGTAGAGCGAGTAAAATGCCAGACCCTGCGCTGAGTGTGGATTGTGAATTGTCGTTGTCGTGACTTATTCCCAAAATAGCTTTCGTTATTCAGGTTGGATATTCAAAGAAGGGGGACTGTTGCAAGGGTGAGGGGGTAAATGAGGGAATAGGGAGTTAATGGGGGAAATCGGGGGGCTGTTTGTTTTTTGGTAGGAGGGGAGGGGTGGTGTTAGGAATACTATAGTATGCAGTACATACAGTCTATTGTTATAATTCGTAAATCTAAATTCACTGCGTAATCGTGCAATTAACGTACTAGGGAAAAAACCCCAGCATGCAAATAGAATCCCTGAAATACCCTTAAGGAATTGAGCTCCCCAACAGAGTGCCTCCTTATCACTCCATTACATCTTGCCCGCTCGCCTGCGGTGCCCGCTCGCAATCATTCGGGGCATGCGTTCCTTCATTTCATTCCCCTTTGCGAAAATCGGTGAGTGGGGGGTGGTGGGGTGGGGGGGTTCGTGTGCAGGTTGTTTCGCGTTATTTAATGTTTTACTCGTTTGTGTCTCCACACACAGAGAGAGAGAGAGACACACACAGAGATGTCCAACCTCACGGATCTCGTGGGTCGCTCGACGCTCTCTCACGGAGGCATCCACATGCCCCACAGCGGGCCGGGCTACGCGTGGGAGTGCAACCAAAGCCATCACCTCTCGTCGTTGGCTGACAACGGCACACCCCACCATCAGCTGGCCTTCTTGTGTAACAAGAGCGACGACATGCTTGACGACGACGACGACTACGAAGACGACCCCCACGTCACCTCGCTGGTCGTGGCTGTGGTCATCACCGCCCTCTACTCCATCGTGTGCGTGGTGGGCTTGGTCGGGAACATCCTGGTCATGTACGTGATCGTCAGGTGAGATGCCACGCACGCAGAACGCACACACAGACAATGCACAACACACACACCGCGCGCACACGGCTTTCACACACACACACACACAGGGATACATTTGTCATGGGATAGATTCTGCTCACCCCCACCCACCCCTTCCCCCGCCCACCCCCAGCATTCCCACAAAACTTGAGGTGGGGAGGAGGGCTGGGGAAGAGGGGTAGGTGGGGCAGGGACATTTTCCAGAGCGAGGCCCCGGACATCTCGAGGTGAATTCAAGCCCCGCACGTGCGCATGGTTTTTGTTTTTTTTATCGACGGCAGCAAGAGGTTCTCTAAACTGCAATTCTCACGACCCACCACGGATGAGTCCTCCCCGAGTCTACCAATTTGAAACCTCCTTTCATTTGTACGTTAGAAATTGAGTCGTTGCTTTCGACCGGTGATTGCAAAACGTGTCCCACGTGCTGATTAAACTGCCCAGGCGTCTCGCGTGTGGGTGTGTGCTTCGGCGTACGTGCCCCACCATGATATAAGAGCACAGGTTGATAGGTACCTTGTGAGTGTGTGTGTGCATGTCACATTATCTGTCCTACCCCCCCGTACCTCCGATTAGAAAGGTTGGCTGCGTACGGTGCAAAATAAGTTCAACATACGGTGCATATATATTATAGGGAAAAGGTGGCTCAGCGGTTGGAACACTGCCCCAAGAATTCAATGACCAGAGTTCGATTCCCATTCGGGGCCAAGAACAGCGACGATTATTTGAGCGGGTCCTGGGCCTCCCCTAGGTCCACTCAGCCTCAAATGAGTACCTGGTGCGGTGTGTAAACATCATCGCCACTGGGGATACAATGGCGGCCGGGCGTGGTGCTGGCCACCCCCTCGTGTGGCATTCCGGCCTTCATAGGTGCTCGCATAACAGCACCTGCCCCAACAGTATGTCACGGCTCTGTTTTTCTTCGTCACATGCTATGCATGGGAACATTCATAGATCTATTGTGTATGTGCGTTGCACGTGACATTGGAGCACTCATTCAAATGCAAAGAGATTCTGTGTGTGGTAAACATTTCGCTTTTTTGTGTCTATCTTGTGTTGCTCGCTTGAAAGGATAACATATGCTACCAATGCGTATTCGTATTGAGTACGAGTCGATCCTTCCCTTTTCCCCCTTTTATATGTAAAAGAAAAACGTATTCCCCGACACGCGTGAATGAGATGCGATCAGTGGCCATACGATTCTCAGATATGTAAGGTCCCACAATACTATAACACTGAGTTCTGCCACACTCGGATAATATATACAGCACAGCGACAAACTCCAAATTCCTCAACGATCCAGTATTGTAGACGGCTTCGTCTCAGCAAACCCAAACCCTGCAATAATTCGATAATATATACAGCATCACCACAATAAGCCTGGATTATGCAACGATTCAATATTTAATTTCGATTTAAAGCTTTCGTGACTGCATGGATTCATTTTCTTGGTTCTTGCAATAAATTCACGTGGAAGGGAAATAATAAAATAATAAACATAAAACATAATAAGATAAAATTCTCACGACGTTTCGGCCACAACGCACGGCTGCTTGCGTTGTGACTTTACCGAAAGAACCAAGAATATGGATTCAATATTGCTTCAGATTTTCCGATATCAAAAATCGCCACTTGGCTCAAAGTCAGTAACACCACCTCCATTTCACCATTTTCACTTTGGCTTTGTCAATGCACACACTGTCCAATTCACCAACACCAAGAATCACCACTTTACTTCATAAAATGAAGACCACCTCCGTCTCCTGCCAAAACTCTCCCTTTCACCAGGTGCCTCAATTCCCACTCTTTTTGTCTCTCCCCCTATGCCTCCATCCATTTCTCCCCACCCACACGCACCCACTAACTCAGCATCCCAATCTCACTCATTCCCGTATTTCGACGTTGCACTCAGAGTATGAATCATTGTCTGGATCTTTATCTCCCATCCTCCCATCACTCTCACTCTTTACTTCGATATTAAACCAAAGCACGGAGCATACTCGCACCTGTGCCGAACGCCTTCTGGCACCTCTTGTTCCCACACGTTTGCACTGCCTTTTTAGATTGGCGTGAGTTTATGTCACTGTTAGACTTATGTGCACATGTACCTAACATTTCATGTTTCACTTGCACTGTTTTTTTACTTGCGTGTGAGTTTCGTTTATGACTGTTAAACACCTCGTTTGGTAGTTGTGCAGTATTCCTAATGGACCCTGTACTCGTTCTCTGCAATATCGACGTCGTTGTCGGCTGTTGTCGTTGCTGTGCTCACGCACCGCGGATCTCACTCGTAACATGGCCGGGTGACTGGCTACACCAGACCACCCGTGTGTAATGACAGGGCTACACCTGCTGACATGACAAAGTGACACCTGCTGGCCTGGGAAGGGATACACGGGTGCAGCCACAGAAGTAACAACCAATCAGAGAAGGAAGCGGACCTGGGGCAAAGGTAACAGGTGGGGTAAGCCGAGATGCTCCGGGAACCTGCTCGAAGGTTCCACGAGAGGGCGTGGCCGGAGGCGGGGCTTAGCCACGCCTGGGGGGATATAAGGGGAAGCGGACCCGGAGCTCGTGTGTGGGGTCCTGGCTGCGTCGCTGCTCGCCGACATCGCTCTCGGTCGTCCGACCACGTGGAAGATCTCCTGCGTGGGTTCCATCGCCGTCATCGTCACGCCGCCAGCCAGCGGCGGAGACGAGTGAGGGCGAGGGGACCCCGCTGAGTGATCGGCTGTGCGTGTAGCCGGTAGAGGTGTTATTGCCTACAGTTATGTTCGGTGAGAGAAAGAACCAGCGTTGGCCTGTGTTGTGCCCAGTGTGAGAATAAAGAATAACTACTCTCTATACGATGTGTCGTGGAAGTCACTCATTACACGTGTAACAAATCATATGAACTTAAACTGTCTCTACTTGTCTGTCTCGTTCTCTCTCTCGCAACCGTTGTGTCTATCTCTCCTTGTCTCTGTCTCATTGTCGCCCGTGTCTCTGTGCCTTTCTCTCCTCGTCTCTACGGCATGACGTTAACTCTCTCTCTCTCTCTCCACGGCCTGCCTCTACCCTCTGTGCCCCGCATCTCTTTTTTAATCCCATCTATCCCGGCCTCCCTTCGCTCTCCCTTCTTTCTTCGCTCTCCCTTCGCTCTCTCTCTCACTGCACTCGGTATCCACAAAACGGCATCTTCCCCACGAGTCATAACATGCGTGGGTGCCGTGTGCCGTCATTCATAGGCGCTCGCTAACAGCACGTGTCCTAATAGTTGCGTTTAAAGTCGATCTGGGGGATCTTTGTGTTGCCCAAAATGACGCAGGGAGCACGATGCAATTTCATCAACGCTCTGCACAGTCGCGTTGGACGCGTTTTAGCAACCATCAGGCGCGTGGAACGTGTAAGCGACCTTGCATGAGAATGCAGGTGGACTTGTGGGCCAGTGGTTGATCAATGGGGTTGGTGGGAAAGGCAGCGAGCAGGTCACATGATGCATATTAATTTTTGCACACTGGCGTGCCACAAGGCAGGTAGGCTGCTTGCTTACGCGGCTGAATGCAATGATTTAAGCACGTGCACGTTTCCGACAAACAATGGAAGAAAACAGATCAGGAATGAGTTTCGGATTTAAACAAAAATATATATTTTTCTAAGCCCAGTTTTGGATTTTATTAGTATGGTTTTTATGCGAATTATGGAATGTTACTAAGGTTTGTGTTGTCGTTTTAGACGTTAATGCATTCATTGTAATATTTTACGTAAAGTGGCATTCGTAAAACATACGTTTTTACGTGAAGCTTTTTATATTTTAATATATTACGCGAAAGATATTTGGCAGATTATAAAAATAATGTCCGGCAACAGCACTTAAATGAGCAAAAGCAGACATATTATACTATTGAGGTGATGTCACTTCTGTGGCGTCACATTTTTGGATCAATCAGCAACTACATTTATTTTGGATCATCCGAAATCTACGTTTTGTGATTAATCTAGAAATCAGGAGCACATCTCTTGTACACAGCTTCTCTGCACGGTGTTATTCTTAAACGAATGTGTTCTTAAATGTTGGTGAGACGATCAAGTGCAGCTCAAACATATTAGCAATTTCCGTTACATTTCTAAATACTTGACCAGTCACTCACTAGCACATCACCCGTCGGTCACATTTTCTCATCTCCCTTGCGTAGAAACGGGGGAATCCCACTTAACATCAAAAGTGACTTCTCAAGCATGGACGTTGTAGGTGGATTCTGCTGTGGTCGGATGGTTTATCACACTGGACTTTGCAATACAGAGGTCGCCGGTTCAATTTCCGGCCGTGGCAGTTGCCACCATTGGCAAGTTTCTCAAATCTCCCCACCTCCGTCCACCCAGCACCTATAAATGGTTACACCAAAGTCACTCCATCGGCAGATTGCGTGTGGTGAGGTAAAGTGTGGGCACTCTCACCTCTATCAAGATATCTGACCGTTGTGGAAGAGTAGGCTTAATACCCTCTAGAGGGCCTCTCTCGAGCTCCCTAGAGTGGAGATCCCTTCCAACAGCAGTGGTGTGAGCAAGCGATTGCAGGGCTGCACCCTTACCTCAACTTTTTTGAGCCAAGGCTATGCAAGCGAAACGTTATCACCATGGGTTGTCGCCGCTAAAAACCGGGGCGATGACTTTGAACACGAAATGTGCATCTCGTTAGTTGATCCGCAGCCATTGTGCGCACCCGTGTTACCTTTGCATTGCATAAACCTCCGTTATCCTGCCAGATAGAGTTCAACGGCGGAGCGTGTGGTTCACTTCTTGTGGGTTAACTCGGCCCATTGTCCCTCCTGGGTCATTCAAATGAGTGGCACTTTTTGTGTGTGTGGAAAGCAGCAGTGTTTGCCGTATGCATACACTCGCCCCCTGCCAGAGAAACGTGGACATGTTTTGTTTTCCGCGGCTGCCTCTCGCGGCTTTAACAAGATATGAGCACTGCCTCAATGCGCATTTGATCAGGAAAT